AACCGAGTTATGGTCCGCTTTGGTGGTACGAATTTCTTGACCTACAGTTCTTAGAATATTGGGACGAAAGTCACATAGGTCAATGCAGAATTTCAAGGGCTATCAATTGGTGAAAAAAGATCGGACCTTCGACTTAAGACGGCGGAGTTATTCGCATTATACATAGAAGCCCTAAAAACACCGAAAACGGCAATAACTCCGGCCCATTAACTCAAATCTTCTTAATTCACCCACCGTTAGAAAAAGCGTCGAAAACTGCACAACATGGTGGGTGAGCAAAAGGGGTTCGACTTACTTGGATTGAGATAGATGCAGAACAAGAGAAAGGACAAATGCAGATCGCTTAAACTTTTGTCCTCGACTGTACTTAAATTTAATTTAAAAAACCTTCAGAAAACATCTTTGAAGAACCTATAATATATGATTCAATGTGACTTCATTTCTTCATTCTATTGATAAAAACTCTCGTGATTTATCCTGTTCTCTGATCAAAACGACTTATTTTATACAATTATCTTAAAATTTCTCATTAATTTTAGTATGCAATCAAACAAGTCTTTCGTATTGATTTAAATTTACATCGTTTTCCATTACTTGAATGTATATCTTTAATTGATCCAACCATAGAAGAATTGAATCTTATTTTTTCAAAATTAAAACATATGTCTATTCGAATATTAAATATTCGTATTCAACGACCATCATCATCAACAAATGAAATAACTTATAAAAGTTGTTTACAACATCATTTATTTGGTTCAACACAAAATAAAACATTAGAATCAATATCTGTTGAAATGCATAATAATGATTATTTACAATTTATTGATAAAACTGATATACCTGCAATTTATGATAATTTAAAAGAATTAAATATTCCATTAAGATCATTCGATAGTCTTCTATTACTTTTAGAACATGTACCTAATTTAAAAAAATTATGTGTTAAATTATTTGCTGATCAAACACCATTAAATGTACCATTATGTGGTAAACCACCAATAAATTTAATTGATTTTGAATTAGATGTTACTGGAAGTGAATTAAATTTTGATCGTTTTGTTTTATTAATGACAAGTCGAATACGTGCAGCAAAATTAGAAAGACTAGCATATTTTAATCGTACAACTATGGATCAAAATTATTTTAAGTAAGTAAAAAAAAATATTTATTTCATTTATAAAGATATTCGCTCAATGTTTGATTATATTTACGTTTAATTGAGAACAAAAAACTCGTAATATATTTAAAGTCAAGATTAATTTGTTTCATTATTATTAGATTTACCGTTGCATTCCTTATTCAAACTTTCTTTAAAATTAAAATTGATTTCTTTCTAAATGAAATGCTATTTGAATCTGTTTAATTTTGATTTTCTCAAAGATCTCTAGTAAAAAATGTTTGATATAAAACAAAATTGATCTATTAAGATTAGAAAAAGGAAAGGAATAAATTCTATTGTTCTTCATTAAACAAAACTCTAAAATTTTGATTATTTTTACAACAATCATTCGATAATAAGAATAGCAAACTTCTGTTACTATAAATTACTAAAAGAAACATAACTCATATCGTACGTTTATCTTTTACAATCGGTAGTAGATTGTTGGTATGAAGGCAACTAAATCATAGCCGTTAGATGATACACTCTACTAATCAAACAACCATTTCAAAACACAAAAGATTGTGAAACATATCGTTATAAAATTTAGTTCAAATGATATTTCGTTAATCTATTTTATATGGCTCATGGTTAAATACGTGCAAGATGGTCTCGGTTTTGGCACGGCCGAGATCGGTACCAGAGCATACACTTTTCTGTTGAGAATAATACCTTTTATGCTCATGTAAAACTTACGTCGAATGACATATTGTCATGACTCACGTGTTCTAAGATTTTCAAAATTACTAATGAGGGAACTGATGGAAGTGATTCGCCGATTTTGAGCTCATATTTTTGGCATATAGAGGAGACCTCTAGACTAGAATAACCCTAAAAGAATTTGGGTCCATAGACCTCTTCTACAGAATTATAGTCATTTTACTTTAGTTTTAGCATATGACACGGTATGCACCAACAAAGAGACTGATTATATTTGGACCTGAAATCTTGTCCACAGATAAGTCTACTTGTAATTAGAATGCCGTGAAAATTTCAGCTCAAAAGAATGTTTTCTTCGCGAGATATTGAATTTTCAAAAATCACACAGATCCTATACAAGATAGAAGAACCTCAAATTTTCCCAACATTCATATCTCGCGAAGGTAACATTCTTTTGAGTTGAAATTTTCAGGCCATTCTAATTACAAGTAGACTTATTTGTGAACAATATTCCAGATCCAAATACCATCAGTCTCTTTGTTGGCACATACCGTGCCGTGTGTTAAAACTAAAGTAAAATGACTATAATTCTGTAGAGAAGGTCTATGGACCGAAATCCTTTTAGGATTATTCTCGTCTATAGATCCCCTCTATATGCCAAAAATATGAGCTCAAAAGCGGTGAATCACTTTGAGCAGTTCCCTCGTACGATATAAGCAGGTAGTTTCAATAAAATTTCAGTAGCTATGTGAATTTCATAAACATTCATATAGATAAATGAAATTATAAGTCTATAGAAATATAAAAACTTATCCTCAAAAATATAAGCATTTTTGACAATTCCTTAGTAGATGCCAAAATTGCTCATGGACTTTCTCAGAAATTATCTTCTTATATGTTAGTAGTTATCGAAATAACCTTCTCATGTGTTGATAATTTCGGAAGTTTCTCAATATTTATCTCTTCTGAATAGATATGGACAAAGATGGTTCCGATTTCGATGGAACCGAGACCAAAAATGATTAGTTCCACTCATGGCTAGAGGTGCCAGTCGATCGACTGGGCCACTACCAACCACATGTGGCGACACTAGAATAGATATTTGATTTATAAAAATTTTCGAGTTCTCAAATCATTTTTTTTGGAAATTTAACTCTCAAATTTCTTTTCAAAAAGATTCTCTCTTTTCCATTTCTCGAAATTAAGAAATTTTTTTATAAAATTCCTCGAAAAACTTCACCGATCAATGTATCGGCTTAAGGGCCCCTCCCCCTCACAAAATCCATTTTTTGGAAAAGTAATCGTAGTCGAATTTTTATCATAGAAAGATGCAGCGAAGTTTCCTCTTTCAGAATATATATAATTTTTAAAAAAAGGTCAAATTTTTATAGACCTTCGTATGAGATTTCCATCTCAGTACCCGGTTTTCGGAGAGGTTTTCGCGATTTTTGTTATTTTTGGGAAGACTACTTTTTGACTTCTATCATCATGGAATAAATATTCTTATATCATATAGTACGACCTGTAGTGCTGGCTTACGCCATCCATTGCGTGCTTTCAAAAATTCCACATAAATATTATCAATATACCATTATTTTCTACATTTGAATGAAAACTCCATTTCTAAAACTTCTTTGGTGCTTTTCTCAGAATACGGTTTCTTAGCAGGAAAATTGGGATCACTCTGTCCCGGCCCTGGGTATTATTCAATATATTTTTTTTGTTTTAAAACTCTCGATTACAGTAAACTTTTGTCCGAACGGATTTTTGAAAGTTGATTCCTGGGCTGAGAAAAGTGGAATTTACTGTCGTTAGACTACCATTTTTCTGCTAATTTGAAGACCCTTGCGCTAAAATGCTCATAAAAAATGAATAGGACGGAATATCAAAATTCTGTTCGAACAAAAATTGCTTACTGACATGTACTTTAATTTGAAACCAGCCTGAGCTCTCTAGCTTTTCTTATGACGGAGTTATACCGATTTTCCTGAAGGCCAAAAATGACCCATGAATCAGCTGGAAATGCGGTCTAGTATGACCAATCGAGCTGAAATTTTTACCAGAAG